AAAGTGGCGCGCCGGTGCAACTGTGCATTAAAGAATTGAAACCCGCATTCTTTTTTTTTTTTTTTTATTTCTCTTTTCTCTCTTTTCTTGAGTTGTTTTTCCTACGAATATATTTGAAGAAGCAGGTTTTACTGAAGTTTCTTGGATTAGAAAATCTTCTATTGTCGCAATTAATAGAGATTTCACTTTGTAGTTATTATCATGTATCGGTAAGAAAAAATGATTTTTTATCGATATTTTTCCGAAAGACATTAAACAAGAGTATTATTTTATACGATTGAAGATGTTTGAATTAGATTCTGTTGACACACAGTGGGGCAAGTTTTATGACAGATTTATTTGTTTTAATGTCTTGCCGTTGGAATCAATATTGCTATTAATTAATTAATTAATATTATTAATAAATTAATATTGCTATTATTGTTATTAATATGACAAGTGTTAAAGACTATTTATATCCTACGAGACAATAATTAAAAGACTTTCTATAATCGACAGAGTTTGAATTAGAGTTTGTTGAAACTTGAGGTTTGCATTTATCTTCCTTCTGATATCCTGCATACAATGAATCAATTTTAAAACTTTGTGCGTTTTTGCTTCGAAAGCTGTTAGTATGTGGTTTGTGTCGATATTCTCCTAGAAGACACTAATTAAACAGATTTCATATGGTTGAAGACGTTTAAACTCGGCTTTTGTTGAATTGAATTATATTCTAATATCTTGTTGTTAATGATAGCTTCAATGTTTTTCCAAGCAACATTAATATAAAAGATTTTCTATAGTCGAACGAGTTTGAATTGGGTTTTGTTGAAGTTTTAGATTTGATGTACAGTCGAGTATCCTATAATGAATTAATTCAATTTGAAGCTTTGCTGTTTGAATTAAATTTTATTTATATTATTACTTACATTTGCATCACTGTATTAAATTATATTGTCAAAATAAACTGTTCAAACAAGTTCAAATAAATGTATTATAAGTTGTGAAATAAATAAATAAATAATAAGTTGTAAATAACAAAAACAAATAAATAAATAAGTTGTTCAAATAAGTTCAAATAAATATTCAATTGTCAAAATACATGAAACATTCGAAGCACAGTGTTCGTATGTAATATTTAATTTAAAAAAAAAAAAAAAAAAAA